CTCTCTCTCTCTCTCTCTCTCTCTCTCTCTCTCTCTCATCTGCGACTGCCATTTTGCAGAAACCATGAAAGGCCATTTTCCTCGCCGGCAATAGTAACCTTCCCAATTACGCAGCCCCACCACAAATTAAATTTTGAAGACTCGATGATACCCTTTTTTTTTCCTTCTTCTTTTCAAGCTCTTGTAATTCAGTCGAGATCTCGATAAGTATTGCTTTCTCCATTTTCGCCGGCAGCCCTTTTCAGCAGACTTTACCCATCGGAGATGAAGCTCTGCCGTTCTCTTTTTCAACTTCCCCCCTTTTGACTTCATTTATTGTTCTGATTTTTTTGTAATTAGTTGGCTACCAAATACGAAATACTGACCCCATCCAACATAAATGCCTTCTCTGAGATACATATCCTTTTAGCAAGCCACAGAAATTGCTCACAATCCCTAATATCTGCTGATTGTTTTTCCGCCATGAATGAGTCCACCGTCTCCGGCGACTCTTCTTCCGGCAATCAAACATACCCTAAGAACCCACCTCTCAGAAAGAAGCGCAATCTCCCAGGAATGCCAGGTAAAAAAAAATATTGCAATTAAGTCGATAAATCAGCTGGAAAAAAAAAATCATCTTTTTATGTTGGGTTTCAACTTTCTTGATTAATTTTTGTTTTAATTGGAAAAATATGATGATAATTATCAGATCCTGATGCGGAAGTGATTGCTCTATCGCCCAAAACCCTGCTGGCCACGAACCGATTCGTGTGCGAAATCTGCAACAAGGGTTTCCAGCGGGACCAGAACCTGCAGCTCCACCGGCGAGGCCACAACCTGCCGTGGAAGCTCCGGCAGAGGTCCAGCAAGGACGTCAAGAAAAGGGTTTACATCTGCCCCGAGCCCGGCTGCGTCCACCACGATCCGGCCCGGGCCCTTGGTGACCTGACGGGGATCAAGAAGCACTTTTGCCGGAAGCACGGGGAGAAAAAGTGGAAATGCGAAAAGTGCTCCAAGAAATACGCCGTTCAGTCCGACTGGAAAGCCCATTCCAAGATTTGTGGAACCCGAGAGTATAGATGCGATTGTGGAACTCTGTTTTCTAGGTACCATTTTTTTTTTTTGATTGACCATTTAATGTGCATTTGTGTTTGGTGATGTTCTAGTAAATTTTGCAGGAGGGATAGTTTTATTACACACAGGGCGTTTTGTGATGCCTTAGCAGAGGAAAGCGCGAAAACCGCCCGGACAACTGAGGTCCCTTTGATTCCTGAAGAGGATGAAGAAGATAAGAGTAAAACTGTTGAGGCTCTTAAGTTGTCTCCACCTCCGGCTGCCACATCTCCACCATTGCCGCCGGAAGAAGCTCCGGCCCCTCCAGTTCCGGTGGTGAACTCTGTTTTGCCTGTTATGTGTCCAGGTAGTTTGACTAATTAAAGTGGTAATCTGGGATTTGGGTTTTACAAAATTTTGTTGTATATCTGTCTCCAGTCTTGGGGTTTAGCTGATTTTTGTCTGTTAAACCAGAATTTGTCTTTATCGACTTAAAATTTTCAAGCTAGCTGATAGTACATCCATATATTAAAATCTAGTTGCAGCTATGATATTTTCATGAAGCTAGAGCTTTAATCAAGTACTGTTAGAAGTAGATATTTAATAAGTATAGTTCACTAAAGGCAAATCTTTATGGTAAAGGAACAAAATATTCAAGATCCAAAAAGCTAAAAAAGAAGTCCAAAGTGAGATCAGTAAAGTTATTTCCATTATGATTCTTTTTCACTTCCTTCAAACCTCTTTATCATTAGATTTCCTTATTAGTGCACGTTCTCTTCTCCTAAGTCAAATCCTTCCTCACTTCTCATTCTGCTTGGTATTAATTATCTGACCGTGGACAGAATTGCCTAAAACGACCTGCCCAAATCCGCCAACTGCACCAACTCTCTCAGACATCCCTTCCATTGCAGACATAAAACCGAGCTGCGGCAGCACCAGTTCTTGCAGCAGCAGTGCGATTTCCAGCAGCAACGTGTTGGCCACCATTTTTGCTCCACCCACATCTTCCGGAAGCTTCCATTCTTCTCAGCCTACTGGTTTCACTGAAATGTTCCAGCCCGATGTCCAGCCGCCCGAGCCTGTATCCCTCTGCCTCGCCACGAATCAGGGTTCTTCAATCTTTGAGCGCCGGCAGTACGCACCTGCCTTGTCAGCAACTGCATTGCTGCAGAAGGCCGCTCAGATGGGCCCAAAATCAAACTCGTCCCTCCTTATGGGCCTCGGTGTGGTTTCAAGCTCCTCAGGCCCAGACGGGCCCTGTGGGCAACAGCTTGAGTCCAATGGGGTGTCGCTGGCAGGTGGGCTCAGTTTGGGGTTGACTCGTGAAGGCGGGTCGGGCTTGAAAGAGCTGATGATGGGGACCCCTTCTTCGGTGTTTGGGCCCGAACGAGCCACCTTAGACCTATTTGGGTTGGGGATGGCGGCAGCTGGTAGCGGCTCGGGCAGTGGGCTGTCAGCTTTGATGACATCCATTGATGTTGCTCGGTCGTTTGGTGGTGGGGAATATAGTGGCCAAGACATGGGTAGGGGCTCGTGAATTGATTTGGAACTGATGTTGTAAAATAGAATACGTTCGGGAGTGCATTTAATTTGTACTTGTGATATGTTACTTGGTTAGGCATCGCCTCGGGATTGTTAGAAAAAGTCTGATTATATAAGTAATCTGTGTATTAGATGATGGTTATTTATTTGGGGAGTGATGTGAATCCAGATCTACTGTACTGTGTAAAGAAAGAACGATGTGAATCCAGATCTACTGTACTGTGTAAAGAAAGAACGATGTTGCTCGGTCGTGTGTTTGACTGGGTGATAAAGCAGGTGATTTGTCTAATTTTCGCCGGGTCCGATCTCTCGATGTCTAGTTTGTCATCAAGTTGTATTTGTTGAACCTACGCTTGCAAAAGAGTCGAGCTCGAGCATAGACTGCATGAGCCCTTAAACGAACCGAGCTGATTTTGGCTCGTTGAATAAAGGAGCCAAAAAACGAGCTTGAGTTCGGCTTGTTCACCATTGTTAACGAGCCGAGTTCGAGGCAATTTCGAGTTTTAACGAGTCGAACTACAAAAAAATATATAAAAAATCTTTTTACGAGTCTTATCGAGGCGAGTCGAGCCGGACTGATTTTATTCAACAGCACAAACTCGTTCAGTGAGTTCATATTTCATCAATATGTGGTGAAGTTGTTATTGTTAAGTCGTGATTGAATACACATTATTGACTACTTTAGACCAGATAATCTTTTTAGCATAAAATTTAACTCAACTCAAACTTCCTCAATATTATCAATGTACTTTTATATATAATTCTCGAATGTGTTGATTCCAAATGGTAGAGTCGCAGCTTCGAGATCATAAGTGACAAGTTTTCATGTTTTGTTGGATAGATTTTAATTTATTTCCAATGCAAACTTAACTAGCCCTGAAATCTATATCTATATCTATATACATATAAAAAGGTTTGGTATTTACCTGAAATAGCAACTGAATTCCCGCCTCAAATTTTCATTTTTACCTTTATTAGTAATTTTTTAATTTTTTTTTTAAAAGTGGAAGTCAACTTTTTAAATTCAAATTAAACAAATCAATTTAATTAAGGTATAAAATCATTTCGATCAAATATTGCGGCTATTACCTATATTTGTTGCATGATTTATGGTATATAATATGTCAATATATAATATATTTGGTACATTATATTAAATGATTAAATAATGAAAATGGAAATAAATTAATGCTCATTTCAATTGACCGTAAATAAAGTGAATCTCTAATTCGTTTTGTGGCATGATTTCTGTATATTGACGGCCCGTATATATTAATTTAGTTATAATTAACTGTACACTTATTTTATTATGTTATGAGATATATTATTATGTTAAAACTTAATATGCACGTATTATAAATAATTGTCATTTTATTACGAAATAGAAATAATATATAGTAATGTTTTAAGACTCTTAGTGATTCCATAAAATTATAGTTTTAATTCTAATGTATTTTCATTATTACATATATATATATATATATATATATATATATATATATTAGAAAAAAACACTAAAATTAAAAAAAAAATCTAAATAAATTTGAGGTGATGAAACAGGACTAGATATTGTTATTTGTGACGTTAATGCATCTTCAATGCATAAGTTTCATAAATGTCAATTATTCAGAAGGATTCCGAACCAGATAAGATAATTGTTAAATTTACATTGTTAAGTTCACAACTTCAAATCCGAAAAATTATCTCCAATGCACAATGTGATCAAACATATTGTCTACTTTGAAAAAAATAAATAAGAAAGAAAATAAACTAAATAATTATATATTTTGAAAATAGTAATAATATTTATCTCTCATCTCTCAATAAACCAAAAATATTCCATCTTTACTTTTATTAGTAATAAAAGTAATAGTGACTAAAATCCCGCCAAAATATTCCATCTTTACTTTTATTAGTAATTTTTTTTGATTTTTTTTTTAAATTGGCGGTCATTTTAGGAAATTTTGAATTAAAAAATCAATGTAATTAATGTACAAAATCATCCTGATCAAATATGATAATTGTTACCATTCAAATGATGCAAATATTTTAGGTAACTATTAATTTACTGAACATTATTTGATAAATTTATTTAGAAATTTTGAAAATAAACTAAGTGATATGGATAGAATTTTTCTAGAAATGAGTACGCAAGAGTTAAAAATGTACCATAAAACATCATGTCATATCCTACGGATCTTAATTAGTTAGAAAATATATCAATTTGATATATATTGTTTGCATTATTAATTCGCATCACTAAATATGTTAGTGCGCATCGATTAATTTTTCTGTAAACGTGTATATACTATAATTTTAAATTAACAAAATCATGATATTGTGATTTCAATTTAAATTAATATTCATTTTTATTTGTCCATAATTGAAATTTCACTTTGATTAATACCGCTCAATATTTGTTAAAATACACAAATATGTTGAGAAGAATTTATTCCACGTTATAAGTTTGTTACATAAATTTTTATTTGAAAGTTCAAAGTATATTAATATATATATATATATATATATATATATATATGTATGTATACTTACTTGAAATAAAAAACTCAAATTCCATCTAAATTTTTAAAACAACTAAACTTGGTAATTTTATTTGAAATATTTCAAAAAATTCCACCTATAGAAATTAATTGGTAAATTTATGGTCTAAGGTTGCCAAAGTTAATAAGTTCGATTTTGGTATAAAGTGGACAATTTTATTTGCATTATCTGATGACTGATTTTATTTTTGGTATGAAATTTGTTATTAATAAATGTCTGAATTTATGGTATAAAGTGAACGATTTAAATTTTGTATGAAATGTTCTAATTTAAATAGTATTAATTTGATTTTGTACGGATAGAAGTTATTTGAGAAATTTGAAAACAAACACAGTGGTATGAATTTTATTTGGTATAAGTATGAAAGTCGAACTTTAGGTTGATTTGTAATAAAACTAAGATGACATGATTCTAAAACTTTAGCATATTTCCATAATAATATTACATAGGATATTGATGATAATTCGGTAACTTGGTACGTACTCTTCTTAAAAATCAGCAATATATTTGAACAAGTATGGGTTAATAAAACTAAAAATTTGTAATTTAAGAGAATTAGTTGATAAATTTGAAAAATAAGGTAATCGACAATAAATATAAAAAATTAGGAGATAATATATATATATATATGTGTGTGTGTGTGTGTATGTGTGTGTGTGTGTGTGTATACATGAAATATATATATATATATATATAGATATATATATATATATATAT